AGAATCAGGGCTATAACCCACGGCCTGTAATAGTACCTTCATCCGTTTTGATGTAGATGTTAGGTTTACTTCATTCACATAGCTGTTGATCCCACAGGTATTTTTAGAGCTTGCCCCATGATAAACAATTCCACCCTGGTCCCTCCATGACATGCAAGAAGGTGGAGCTCCTCTACCTACAGCTTCCTCCACAGACCTACCACAAGGGCTTACGTGATGTATGGCACCCCACATACCAGTGAGAACCAGCAGGATATCAGGTGAATCTGAGAAGAGGATTCTGCCCCTTTATATTTTGTATCTGGACTGCTCAAACAAAAGACTGGATTCTTTCATCTGTATACATATCTCCTGCCAAATACTTCTCAAATACCATTTTGGAGAAATTCTTCAAATAGTAAGAGTGTATTTACCTGCCAGCTCTGCCTTAAGGTTGTATTTACTACAGACATATTTACTACAAAACCATGTAGTTCTCTGTAAAATGAGAGACAGGATGAAGGAAGATGACATTTGTTATTAAGAACAACTGAGAGCTCCTGTGGAAGTGAGGCAATAGGGCTGGACAGGTAAAAGCAAGAGTTAGCATTTGTCCCACCTTGCATGAAAGCTGATTCATTTCTGAGGTAAGATACAAAAATAGCCCCATCTCATTCAGTCATTAATTAGACAAAAACAATCTTCTACAAATTATGAGGTTTTGGTAACAATGCTCTACAGCATTTCAGAGACTTCAGTGGGAAACAGCAGGTGAGAATTTGGTGGACATCATTGTTGAGCAAATAACCTTGGTCTACCCAGCTAGTATTTTAAAGCTCATAACACAGCTTGCAGTGCACAAGGGGAGGCAAGAGCATCTTTCGTATGCTCCTTGCATCTTGCATTTCATCCTGCTACTCGTTCAAGACCCATTTACAATTCCATTGCCTTCTGAGCAGTACATGCTCATACGAGAATAGGACTTGGGTTTTTAAGCAAAAGCAATCTCACTGCCTTGTGCAGAAGTTTATTTGGCAAGATACAGACCACTAACTTCTAGCTTGACTTTTGACAGAAAATACAGGACTAATTGCAGGCACCTATCAACTCTATACAAATGGTCAGTAAGCTCTGACATGAATTACAACCCTCCACAGAGCTGGTAGAAGGCTCTAATCTTAGCTAATGTCACCATAAGATACTAAATATAATGAAATAATTCATTTAGTTTACCAGAAGATATAAGGGCTGAGATGTACATGCAAACAATCATAATCAGAGACAGTGCTGCAAGGAAAGAGAAGGAAGTAGAAATGGGAAAAAAGAGCTCTCATCAATCTAAAACTCCATTGCTATTCCTAGCAGGATGCTAAATGGCTTTGCTTTATTCTACCTATCAGCCTGCCTCTCTCAAGAACTTCTGCTAACTGCTATTCTCAAAGTTATCCCACCCACCTCCCAGCTACTGATATAAATTCTTGCTGTGTGCAAAAGCCTGGGTTAAGCTTCTAATTTATCTGCAGAAACAAGATCCCAATTCTGTGAGTGCTAAGCACTCATCCTCCATGGACTTCAAGGAGAGTTGAGAGTAGGCAACTTTGTGGAGGACGCATTTCACACCCCTCACACATGGTCTGTAGTCTATGCCCAGTACCATAACCTTCACCCATGAGTCATCTGTACCTCATGCTACTGATCTCACTGAAGGGATTCATATGAATAAAGACTGCAGGATCATGACTAATACCTACTGGGAAGCATCTAGGTATTTTATTTAGGCTAGGTAATAGAGGGACTAATTCTCAGTACTTTTACTCTGAAGAAAACATAATACATGGTTGTTATCAGATTTCCTGGGTGCCAAATTATCATTAAAACACATTAAGGTGAACTCTTTAGGGATGTGAGAGGTGAACTGTAGAAGTACAGGATGTCCAGGATGTTCCTGGGCTAGGAGACTTAGTGGAAGATCAGGTTTCCTTCTGTAAAGTTATGCTATACCTGAAAAAGGGAACTAGGGAGAGAAAAGTAGAAGGTTTGATTGTCTTCCTGGGCCTTTTTTATTAATAACTGAAACTTTTCACTTTTTAAAGTTAATGAGCTTTCAACAATAAAATATTACAAAAAGAGTAGAGAAAGCAATGGTTTAGCATTAATTTAGATGCTCTAATCAAATCCTTGAAGTTGTTTCCAATATTTCAGTGCCAATTTATTACGAACATAACCATTTTGTGAATCCCTGTTTCACAGTCTAAGGATCAAAAAGAATCATTTACTACTTCTGAACAAATGCCTTCACAGCTGTATAACTAAATGCAGACATAAATAAGGCAAAGAATTTATGCAGTAAGGTGCGGCAGCACCCTATACACAGAAGATTATACATTTAATGGTGTGGAAAAGAGAGCAGAAAATGGGCTATTCTGCATTAATAGTCTTTACAAACTTGGAACCATATGCAATAAATACATTGTTAGGCTACCTAAATGACTGTAGCTAACTGGAGTGTAAAGACCAGAAG